GTCGTCGCTCCCCCCCCCCCTCTCCCTCTCCTCAGCAGCCCAGCGCGCTGCCCCCTCCGCCCCGACCACTTTATTTCGGCGTTGTGTCGACATGTGTCGCTATGTGTCGCTCCCCAGCACCCCAGCGCACCGCCCCCTCCGCCCCGACCGCTTTATTTCGGCGTCGTCGTCCCCCCCCCCCCCCCAACCCACCTCTCCCTCTCCTCAGCAGCCCGGCGCGCGCCGCCCTCCGCCCCGACAATTTATTTCGGCGCTGTGTCGACATGCGTCGCTAGGCGTCGCTCTAGCACCAGGCGCACCGCCCACGCCGCCCGACACGTTAATTTTCGGCGTCGTCGTCGCCCCCACCCCCCCTCTCCCTCTCCTCAGCAGCCCAGCGCGCTCCCCCCTCCGCCCCGACCACTTGATTTCGGCGTCGTCGTCGCCCTTCCCCGGCCCTTTTCCCCAGCAGCCCAGCGCACCGCCCTTTCCGCCCCGACCACTTTATTTCGGCGTCGTCGTCGCCTTATTTCGGCGTTGCGTCGACATTTGTCGCTTTCCCCAGCAGCCCAGCGCGCCGCCCTCTCCGCCCCGACGACTTTATTTCGGCGTCGTCGTCGCCCTATTTCGGCGTTGCGTCGACATGCGTCGCTATGCGTCGCTCCCTGGCACCCCCATGCAACCCGCCCCCTCCGCCCGACGACCTTTATTTCGCGTCCCGTCGTCGCCCCCCTTCCCCCCCCCCCCCCCCTCTCCCTCTCCTCAGCAGCCCAGCGCGCTGCCCCCTCCGCCCGACCACTTTATTTCGGCGTCGTCGTCGCTCCTCCCCCTGTCCTTTTACCCAGCAGCCCACGCGCCGCCCTCTCCGTCCCGACCCACTTTATTTCGCGTCGACGTCGCCCCAACCCCCCCCCCCCTCCTCCCCTAGCAGGCCCAGCGCGCTGCCCCCTCCGCCCCGACCACTTTATTTCGGCGTCGTCGTCGCCCCCCCTGGTCCTATTCCCCAGCAGCCCAGCCCAGCGCACCGCCCCCTCCGCCCCGACCATGTTATTCTCTTGCACAGGGTGTCTAGAGCTCCGACCCATTTCCCGTCCCCCCCCCCCCCCCCGCTGTCCTCAGCGCCAGAGTGGGGCCCCCGCGCCGTGGCTCTCTGCCCCAAGCCCCCCGCGTCCCCAGCGCCCCAGCGGGGGCCCCGCCCACTGCCCCCTCCGCCACGAACGCTTTATCCCGCGTCGCCCCCCCCCCGCCCCCCCGCGTCCCCAGCGCCAGTGTGAGGCCCCCGCGCCGTGGCTTTCCGCCCCGAGCCCACCGCGTCCCCAGCGCCCCAGCGGGGGCCACGCCCACTGCCCCCTCCGCCACGAACCCTTTATCCCGCGTCGCACCTCCCCCCCCCGCCCCCGCGTCCCCAGCGCCAGTGTGGGGCCCCCGCGCCGTGGCTCCGTGCCCCAAGCGCCACCGCGTCCCCAGCGCCCCAGCGGGGCCCCCGCCCACTGCCCCCTCCGACACGAACGCTGTATTACGCGTCGCACCCCCCCCGTCCGCGCCCCCAGCGCCAGAGTGGGACCCCCGCGCCGTGGTTCTCCGCCCCGAGCCCCCCCGCGTCCCCAGCGCCCCAGCGGGGGCCACGCCCACTGCCCCTTCCGCCACTAACGCTTCATCCCGCGTCGCGCCGCACACCACCTCCCCTACCTCCCTCCCCGCGTCCCCAGCGCCCCAGTGGGGGCTCCGCCCCGTGCCCCCTCCGCCCCGACAATTTTATTCCGCGTCGCGACGCACGCCACCTCCCACCTTCCCCCCTTTCCCCAGCGCCCCAGTTGGACCCCCGCCCCGTGGCCCTCTGCCCCAAGCCCCGCCCAGTGCCCCCTCCGCCCCGACAGTTTATTCCGCGTCGCGGCATACACCCCCCCCCCTCCTCTCCGCGCCCCCAGCGCCCCAGTGGGACCTCCGCCCCGTGCTCCCTCCGCTCCGAGCACTTTATTCCGCGTCGCGACGCACGCCGCCTCCCCCACCATCCCCACCTGGGACTTGGGCGCCGTTGCTGGGCCCCAGAGGGCGATGCCTTGCCCCCTCTTCCCCCTCTCCTCCTCCACCTCCTCCTCCTCCTCCTCCTCCGCCTCCTCCTCCTCCTCCCCCTTCCTTTTTTGTGCAAGGGCTATGGCACACGTGCCACTTGTTTTCGCGCTTGCATGTGCTTGCACATTGCATGTGCAGCGGCCCGCGTAAACGTCACGTAAGCGTGTAAGTTCTGCGCGCGCATTCCAGGATAACGCAAGATGGAATGCTAAAACGAACCAGGAGGTCTCCGAGCACCCGAAGAGGACCCCCTAATCATGGCAGATGGGATAACACGCATTATTTTCCCTTGGAGCACCGATGGGCGGTCCAAACGGGGAGAACACAGTATTCGGGCAGCGGCCGGTCCAAACGGGGAACACAACGCGCACTCATTTCCCTCTGAGCACCAAACGTGGAAAACGCGACATTCGGGCAGCGGACGACCTAAACGGGGGAAACACACGGTTCTGGACTACGGGGGGTCCGAGCGGTTCAAAGCACATCGATGCAAAGGACATGTTTTTTCGCGCCATCATGCGCGTGGAAGTTGCATATGGAGCGGTCTCCCACAAGAGGGGGAGGAGGAAATGGAGGAGGAGGAGGAGGAGGAGGAGGAGGAGGAGGAAGAGGACGAGGACGAGGACGACGACGAGGACGAGGAGGAGGAGGAGGAGGAGGAGGAGGAGGAAAAGGAGGAGGTAGAGGAGGAGGAGGACATGGAGGAGAAGGAGGAGGAGGAGGAAGAGGGAGGGAGTGAGGCAGGGAGGGAGGGAGAGAGTTAGGACGAGAGAGAGAGGGGGAGAGAAAGAGAGAGAGAGAGAGAGAGAGCGAGACAGAGAGATGGAGCGGGAGAGGCGCGGTGCGCTCCAAGCTGCGCGCCCAGTCCGCCAGATCGGCGGCCTCGATGTGCTGGGGGTCTCGCCCCTGACGTCAGGGGTGGACAGGCTCAGGCCTGGCATCGCTCGGACGTGTGCATTTTTTCTCGGCGAGGACCATCCAGGACCATCCTGGACCGTCGAGCCAAACAAATACGCACAAAACCGAAAAATGCACGGGAAATGGACGTCCGAGCGATGGCGAGCAGGGGGGGGGTCGAGGTTTTGGGGGGTCAGCGGGCTCCAGCCTCGGGATGCCCTCCCGCCGCGCCTCTCCGAGGGGCTTCCGGGGGTACCCTGATCGTGCCGAACGGCCGCTGGAGAGTTGGCAACGGTTGGGTTCCTCCTCGGTTTTCGTTTTTCCTCGGTTTGGGTTTTTTCTCGGTTTGGGTTTTTCCTCGGTTTGGGGTTTTCCTTGGTTAGGGGGGGGTCTCAACGTTTGGGGGGGATAGGCTTTGGAGGGGGTGCATCGACCCCCAATCGCCCATGGATCGCCGACCCTCGCCGCCCGGGAGCGTGCGTATTCGCCCTAGCGGGGCGTGTCGCCCACCTATCGGCGATGTATCGCCGATCCCAGCTCGATGTACTCCAGATTTCGTAATAAAGGGAGGGGGGTCTCATTTCGGGGGGGGTCTCTTCCAGGCTATCTTGGAGTGCCTGGGGGGGTCTGGGGACGATGTTTTGGAGGGTTCTCCCACGGGGGAGGTCTGAAATGGCTTGTCTTGGAGGGTCCAGACCCCGTCCCTTTTATTACGAAATCTGGAGTACTGTTCCCCTGAGCCGGTCCCAATCTGGCGTTGCCCTTGCACTTGAGCAGAAACGTGTTGGTGGCCGTCTGGCGCTGCGGAAACAAAGTGTTGGAAGAGTCCTTCAGATGGAGGACCAGCGAATGACGCGCCCAATAGGTGCTTCGAGTGAGCGGGCTGATTCTGCGATTCGTGGGGACCGCGACGATCAAGCCTCTGTGTATTGCGAGCCTTACATGAAGTATCCAAGTATCCAAACACGATCGGAGAGATAATATGTCGTCACAAGCTCCTCCGTAGTTATTGGCCGCAGACCGCAGTTGCCGAAACCGGGTGTGGTGGGAGGAAGCGCAGCAATCACAATCATGTTACAAGAGAAATATAGAGGGCCACGTGCCCACGCGGGCACAGGGATATCACATTGACCGCGGGAAGATGTGGTTGTAGAATTGGAGATGCAAACGAGACTCTTTCGCCACCACAGTTGCCGACTGGTCGAGGTTATGCTCAGATTGCACAGATTCCGATGAATGTTCCCGTTATTCACCCAGGCGATCGAGAACACATTCGCGTTGGTGGCAGACGTCTGGCTGCCAAACCGGCGTGGCGCCAATCCTTTCCAAAGCACAACGGGCAATCCAGCGAACCGCGGCCTGTTTGCTGTTTGAGCCATCCGGAGGCCTGTATTCTGCTCCAGGCACACGGATGGGGGAGCCCAGGCTGACAAGTGCTCGGCGGTTGCGCAGCCCGCGCGTTTTTTTTGTTCAGGATTCTCTGGATGGGGCATTATTCCCCCCCCTTGCATCCGCTGGGGGGTTGGGCACGTGCTGTCGGAACGGGTGGAGGGGGGTTGGAGGAGGAGGAGGAGGAGGAGGAGGAGGAGGAGGAGGAGGAGGAGGAGCGGGGGAGGGATGCGCAAGCTCCGTCGGAAGGTCAGTCGCCCACCCCGCGAATAATGTCCCACGCAGAGTAGTGGTCCACCTCCAGCAGATGTCCGGATCCACCGCGGCGGTGGGAACGTACATACTCTGGCGGCGCAGGTGGGTCGCCCGCCCCCTCTGCAGGGCCGCCCGGCTTTTCGATTCTCCGGTTTCGTCGTTCACCGCCGAGGTGGTGGCAGTCGACAGGGTCCTCCGATTCGATGCGATTCGATTTCGATGGCTTCCGATGCCGATTCGATTTGACTTCGGACTCCGATGTGGGATCCGATTTCTCAAAGGAGGCCTACTAGCCTGCCGACTTCTGCCGATTCGACTTTCCCCGACTTGGCTGCCGATTTCCGCCGATCCGATTTATTTCGATCGCCGATCCGACTTATCGATTCGATTCTGGGCTTTCCTGCTCGATGAAGTGCTCAATATTCCTGCACAGACGTGTGCGCGCCCCCGGGACGCAGGCGAACTTTGCAGTGCGCTGGGCTTGCTCCCTTTTTGGTGTGTTCCCTCCCTCTTCTCGCTCTTTGTTCTTGTGCGCTCCACGCTTTCCCGCCACCTGGCCGTTCTCGTCCTTGCTTCCTGGCGGTCTTTCTCGCTGTGCCCATTTCCCAGGAGTGTTGTTGAAGGTTAGCGCAGCAGTGCCCTTAGCCTCTGGGAAGAACGAGGAGGACAATGATCGATCATCGGCAGGGGCCTGGGGGGAAGCAGGACGACAAGATATAGGAAAATGATGCTGGGGGGGGGCAGAGGGAGGGGCAGGGGAGGGCCTTGGAGGGGGATCGGGAGGAGGGATGGCGGGCCGGAGGTGCAGTTCGCATTCGAGCGCATCAGTGCCCACCTGAAGTTTCTGGACCCCACGGCGGCCCGGGTCAGTCGCGAAAGAGGGGCGAGCTTGGGTAAAGTCTGCAGCGCCGTCGGGCAAGAAGAGGAGGAGGAAGAGGAGGAGCAAGTCCGTTGCCATTTTGGCTCAAGTGGGAACAGGTCCCATTTTGAGCGGGCAGCTCTCCATCCGAGCGATCCAGCGTGTCGTGCGCTGGCGGCACCCCAGTTTGCCTGACTCTTGCTCTGCTGTGAATTATTTTGACTCTTGGGTGCCAACACAGATTCTGTGTCGGCGCAGCATGGCAGGAACCACAGGCTCTACACCATCGGCAAATCAGGATGGTGCTCGCGACAGATCGAGGTCTGCGCATGCCGCGGCACCAGGGGTTGCGGCAGGTGATGTGGCTGAAGGTGAATTTCATGATGCTCGTGATACCCTTCCTGGCTCTGGCAGTGGTGGCACAGGCAGCCCTGGTCGCCCTCGAGAACCACAGCCACTTTCCGAGGAGAATGATTTGCGCGCCCACGTCGACGCCACGAAGCTGGAGGTCATGGCAGCGATTGCCTCTATCCAGTCCAGCGTCACGGCTCTTTCGCGGACGTTCGCGTCTCATGCAGAAGGCATCGATCGGCAGGTTGAAGCCCGAATGCACCGTGTTGAGACCCGAGTGGGCGACCATGACAACAGATTGCAGTACCTGGAGAAGCAGATTGAGCACTTACAACGGCAGCTTCACATCGTCAAGACGGAGCCGCCTCCCCCGAAGATCGAGTTGCCGAATGGCTTCAACCGTCCGACGGATCCCACCATTTTGGTTGTGCGTTCGAAAGAGATGGTTACTCATCAAGCAGTATGTGACGGCATCAAGACATGGATGCAGGACGCAGCCTTGGACGTTGACGACTTCGAGGTCCAGCGCCCTGAGGAAGGTCCAGCAGCGAAACGGTTCATCATCCAGTTCACGGGTCAGCCGCATCTGGCATCCAGAGCTCTCCGCCAAGCGATGGGAGCAATCAAGCAGAGAGACAACACGTGGAGGCGCTTCTTCGCGGCGCTCCCCACTGGAGGCCACACTGACCTGTTCATCAGCATCGACAAAAACCAGGCCACCATTCGTAGAGAGCTTGGTCTCAAACTCATACGCAGAGAATTTGAAGCAGAATATCCCCAACATCGATTCTATGCAGACAAGGATCGCGGCGAACTATCTCTCTCGTGGAAGAAGCTTTTGCGATTTACACCTGCGCCGCCTGGCGCTCAGGCTTCTGCGGAGTGGAACATCCCGAACTTGCAGGCGCTGGGTCTCGACAAGCAGAGGCTGGCAGCGAGAGTTTCCAGATGCACTTCTGCTCCGACCGCAGAGGAAGGTGCGTGGTCTCTTTAACAAGTTCCTGAGGCCTTGGCTGGGTCCTGGCCCCACCTCGGCTTCTTTGTGCTTTGCCAGTTGGAACGCAAATGCTCTCTTCCACTTCGACCCCTCCACCAAGACCAAGAAGTTCCACTACCTCTCCTCCCTCATGTCTCCCACATCCATTGTCGCTGTACAGGAAACGCACGGCACAGAGGCAGAAGCCAGGAACATGATCCACTTTCTGCGCAAGCCGTACACTTGCCACGCCAGTTTTTTGCCGAACGCCGCGGGAGGTGTTCTCACGATGATCCCTGAGCACAAGTTTGAAGACTTTGAGGTTGACTCTACAAGTGAGCCTCTGGTTCAGGGCAGGGTTCTCTTTACAGATATCCAGATTGATGGGGGCCCAGCTTGGATCGCTCACTACAATATCCACAACTATGGGCTCCAGAGGCACGAGAAGACCCAGATAGCTAACCACATTCTTGGGAGACTCCAGGAGGCCAAAGAGGACCCGCTCAACAAAATCGTCGTCCTCATAGGTGACTTCAATATAGCTGCCGCGCCTCCGACCCCTGTCAATCCTGCCAGTTTTGTTGCTCCTGGAGAAGGGTACCAGACCTGGAGGGCCACCCAGGACGCCATCTGGAGGGACCTTCTTGGGAAATTAGTTGAAATTGAGCAGCTCGACCCCACCCACGTGTACAGGCCGAATGACACGATGAGCATCATAGATAGGGCCTTCACTTCTCTCCCTGGGTGGGCTCTCAAGCAATTTAACGTATGTGGTGTGACGCAGGGTCTCGCTGAGGTTGTGATCCACCAACGGTTGTCAGACCACGCAGCGATCAAAGTTGACTTCCACCCGGGTGGCCAGAAGCACCATAAGGAGCGAGCCATCAACCGAGACCTCTTCGGCACCCCCGAATACGACAGGTTTGTACAGGCCTATCTCCAGTGCGGTGACATCCAGCAGTACTCGCCGCCGATCCGCCTTTTGTATCTTAAGACGCTGATGAAAGAGGGTGCCAGGTTTGCTCGGAACGCCTCCTTGGGACAGGCCTCGGACTCTACCCTGGGACGTATCATTCTCTGCCGTTCTATTTCCAGGGCCGTCTGGCGTCAGGACTGCACCCTGGGGCAGAAACTCATCAAGGCGTACCCTCTTGCTAAGCAATACCTTCAGTACGACGCGGAGACGAACCGAATCTTCTTGGAGAACCCTGGGGCCTTTGCGGACCTGATCAATTCCCTGGAAGCAACGGACCACATGACCAAGATAAAACGCCTGGGCAAAAATCTTTCGGCAGCTCCCGAATCAGAGAAGAAAAAGCTACGGCAGCGTCTCCGTCGTCTGCAGAGGCGTGCGAAACTGTGGGCTCCTTTTGATCGCCGCTTACATGTGCGCGGCATTCGCCGCAAAGATCAGCTTCTCTCCGACCCGCTGGACATGGCTTCAGCGATTAGTGAGCATTGGGGCCAGATCTTCAGTGCGAAAGATACTCCTGTGGAAAAGGCACGGACCTACATCCAGAGGTTCACAGGTCACATCGACCTGCGTGGCATCCCGCCCCCGACCAAGAGCCTGATGTCTGCAGTTTTGAGAAAGCAAACTCACAGTGCCCCTGGTCCCGACTGTATCCCGTACGCGGCTTGGCAGAAGACTCCCCAGGCTCTTGAGACCCTCTCTGAGATGATGTTCTGGCTCCTGGACGGCGGCTGGGCTTTTTGGGGTTTCAATCACCTTCTGGGCGTCTACATTCCGAAGGGTGAGGAGGAAGGAGATCAAGATGGAGGAGGTTGCGTTCGTGATTGTGATAAGCTTCGACCCCTGGGCCTCAAAAACACAGATAACAAGCTCATCACCGCCACCATCATGTTCTCGTTCTCCAGGGAGTGGTCCAAGGTTGCCAATAAACTACAACGAGGTTTTATCCAGGGACGCCAATTTGGGACCAACATCGTCGAATTGGACGCTGTTGCCAGGTGTTACTCAATGGCCCCTTCAGCTGGCACGGACCTGCCGCCCGTAGCCGCCTTCGACTTTGCGCAGGCTTTTCCATCGATCTCTCATCGGTGGATGCTGCTGGTCCTCGAAGAAATCGGTCTTCCACCCCCGTTGCTGGCTTATATCGTCTTACTGTACCAGGGGGTGATTTGCTACTCGGAGTTTGGAGGCCTGATTTTATTTATGTTTCCTATCCTTGCTGGAATCATCCAAGGGCGCCCTGGATCGGGAACGCTGTTTGCGGTTAGCATGGAGCCCTTTGTGGCGGACTTCGAATCGACGATAGAGCGGAAGCATCGCGGGATAGTCAGACTCTGCGCTGATGACATAGGCACGGCCCTCATCAAGCTGCAGTACCTCGTGCAATTGTTCCGCATATTTGGCCTTGCGGCCCAACTTGCAGCTCTGTATCTGAATATTTCGAAGTGTCAAATACTTCCCCTGGCCGGCCCCATCACGGACCCGATCAAACAGCTCTACAAACTGAAGTTGAAAGCCCTTATCCCGTCCTGGGCCGCCTTCGAAATCGTCGAAGTCATCAAGTATCTGGGTATGTTTCTCGGGCCCGAGGCAGAGCAGCACTGTTGGAGGAATCCGCTCAGAAAATGGCGCCACCGATCGTTTGAGCTCTCCTCGGTGGGAGCCTCGAATGCGGTCGCGGCGAACCTCTACTCTACACGTGCATCATCGGTGATGTCGTACATCGCTCAATTCATTCCTGCTCCGCGCGAGCTCGCCCGCCACGAAGCTGCTATGTTATCCAGAGTCTTTCACATGCCATATTGCGGGTTTACTCATGGGGCGTGGTATAGATGGCAGGAGTGGGGAGGTCCGAGGATCCGTTCGTTGCCAGTCACTTGCATGGCGGCTAGAGCTCGTGCGGCTATTTCGACCTTTGAATGGCGCCAGTCTCTTGAGTGGCTCCATCGTGCTGCTGTCCGTCACCGCCCATACGTGTCGGTGCTGCGTCGAGAGTATTCGCCGCCGTGGTGGAAGACCCCAGCTCTGTGCCAGCACATGTCTGACGCGTTCAATGGAGTCCATTTCCCAGATAGGCTGCGAAACGAAATGCTACCCCTGATGTCTGAGGTTCGTGCGCTTCAGGTACAGCACCTTCAGAGCTCCGTGAGAGGCCCCCGTCCGAAAATCCAGCGCATGATTGTAAATAAACTGACTGACTGTATGTATAGCAACTCGTTAGGTGAATTGTTTTCCAGGCGCCTGTTAGATATGCTCCCTGAGGAGAGGGCTCGTATCCTTACCGTGGACTGGTCTGCCGTGCAGGCCGCTCTTGCTTCCTTGCCTGTGGCTCTTTCGGCCGCTGCTGCTAGGACGCTCTCGAAGAACTGGTTAACTCAACGTAGGTTCCAACAGTCTGCAAATTCGCATTGTCTCTGTGGGTGTCCCCCCGACTTAGGCGGAGAGGACGCGTTCGCACATTATTGGAACTGCCCCATTTTCGGCACGCTCCTTGAGGCTTTGTCAGGCCCCCTCGCCCCGCTCCCCTTGGATCGGTTCGGGATTTTGATGCCCACTGAGTCGTCTCTCAGAGTTCCTGCCACAGCTTATTTCCTTTACAATGAGATACGGGCTATGTCCTCACGTCTCGGCGGTCGACCGCTGGAGTTGCACGAGGCAAGAGATCTCGCCCCCACGGTGCGGCACCAGATGCTGCGCTAGAACTTCGTGGACCGCCCCCCTTTGGCCACGCTGCAGGAAGAGGAGGAGCAGGAGGAGGAGGACGAGTAGTAAGAGGAGGGAGGAGGAGGAGGAAAAAGAGATAAGAAGAGGAGGTGGAGGAGGGGGGGGAGGGGGAGGAGGAGGAGGAGGAGGAGGAGGAGGAGGAGGAGGAGGAGGAGGAGGGCGCTATTACTGCTCCGTTACCGGCTGTTCCAGCCAGGACGCGAATAGGGAAGGGGAGGCTGTTCCGTTCTCCCTCCTGTTTTAGAAACACGAGCGGGGCGCGATTCCGTGAATACGCGGCCGCATGGATGTGTCCCGCGCTTGGCCTCTACGAGAAAGCGCGCCGCACCCATGGACTCACTCGGTCCAGGGCCCAGTCCGCAAGGCCGTGGATATGGGTATGTCTCCCGCCCGCGACAGAAGGCCGAGCAGACATATGCACGCGTCAACACTTTTGGGGGTCCGCGCGAAGCGCCTTTGGGTCGGCGCCAATGAGACTCCCTCCTTACGCCCCTTCCACGGCATGCGGAGCGCTGGGGGCACAGCTGCCGTACGACACCTGGGCGTCTGCGTCTTCTGCTGTGGAAGAAAAGCAACCACCGTGCCAGCGCAGCTGCGTTGCAGTGAAGATGATGATGATGATGATGATGATGATGATGATGATGATGATGATGATGATGATGATGGTGATGGTGATGGTGATGGTGATGGTGATGGTGATGGTGATGGTGATGGTGATGGTGATGGTGATGGTGATGATGATGCTGCTGCTGCTGATGCTGATGCTGATGCTGATGCTGATGATGCTGGTGCTGGTGCTGATGCTGATGATGCTGATGTTGATGCTGATGCTGATGATGCTGATGATGTTGTTGATGATGATTCTGATGATGTTGTTGATGATGATGCTGATGCTGATGATGATGCTGATGATGATGATGATGATGCTGAGGAGGAGGAGGAGGAGGAGAAGGATGAGGATCAGGATGCGGATGATTATGATGATGAGGATGAGGATGATGCTGATGATGCTGCTGATGCTGCTGATGCTGCTGCTGATGATGATGATGATGATGATGATGATGATGATGACGACGATGACGGTGACGATGACGATGACGCCTGAAGGGCCTGCCGCTCTCCCAGCTCCCTCGGGCGTGTGGTGGCGTGCGTACTGCGGCCCGCTACGGGCTGCGGCAGCGGGCGCGGTTCGCGAGAGGCAAGCGGCGGTCGCGTCAGGGGCAACGATAAGGGGGTGACAGGCAGATGAGGGGGATGCATCAACCCCCCATTGTCCATTCATCGCCGATTGGGTCTAACAGCCCGCCCCGCCCAGGAAGGTGCGGAGTGCCTATCGGGGGCCTGTCGCCGATCTATCGGTCTTGTATCGCCGATTCCAGGTCGGTGTGTCCCACCCTATGCCGACCCCCTCCTATCCTTCAGGGCGGTGGCACGCCCGAGCGTCACCCAGTACCGGACGACGCGCTGGCGTGCCACCGCCCAGGGGCGGTCCCCCCCGATGCGTTCTCGGTGGCGGTGGTCTCTAGTTTTTTTTTCGGAGGTGGACAGAGCCCCCAACAGTGACACGTCGATTAGTGCATTGTCCGTTTTCGGTTCTCGAGAGGGTGCCGTGGCCGTTCTTTTCCAGGCTTGCGCCCGCCAGGTCTGGGCCTCAGGTCGTTTTCACTAAACCACGTTTTGCTAGAGGGGGGTCTGTCCATCCCCGACTTTTCAAAGACGAGGATCTCAAACCTGGGTCCATTTCAGTGCTTGTCTGAGCTAGTCTGCCACGAGTCCTACACACACACACACTCCTTGTCGGCAGCCTCGTTTTACTCTTCCCTCCTCCTCCTCCGCCCTCAGGCCTCTCCTTCGAAGGCACATTGGAGGCTTCTTGGGGGGCCTCTGTGCCGCTTCCTGGAGGCCTGTTGGGACCCTTTCGCGGGTCTTCCTGGGGGGACGTCGGGGCTCCCCCTCCCCTCCCCTTCGCCCTCCCCCTCCACAATTACACAATGTGAACACTACTCTCCTATCTCCCCTGGTGACGTCTGGGAAATGTTCGGCCCCCCTCCGCGTATTTTTGTACACAGGATTCCCGGGAAACGGGTTTCCGTTTGGCTTTGTTTTCAACATGTTGTTCTCGCTGAAGCGTTGGCCTCACTTCGGGCGACCATTCGTTCTGAATCGTGCTCCCGCTGCAAGTCTGGCCTCATTTCCGCTCTTCCGCTCGTTCCGAATCATACTACCGCTGCAGCGCTGGCGTCATTATTTCCAGCGCCATGCCACGGGATGGTTTTCGGTCCTTCTAAGTAGGCCCCAACATCTAGAAGCTGCTCCCCCCCGAGATAAAAGTAAGTGCTTACACACTCGGTGTCGATTCGTTGTTTTTGGGGTCGCGGAAGCCCCCCCCCCTCCATTTTGGGGCGCCGCCACGCCATGCTATGTCAGGCTACGCGTCCTCCGAATCGTGCTCCCGCTGCAGCGCTGGCCTCATTTCCGCGCTTCCGCTCGTTCCGAATCGTGCTACCGCTGCAGCGTTGGCGTCATTATTTCCAGCGCCATGCCACGGCATGGTTTTCGGTCTTGCCAAATTGGACCCAAAATCTAAAACTTGACCCCCCCCCGAAACAACCATCGGAAGTGCTTACACATTCGGTGTCGACTCATTGATTTTTGGGGCCGCGGAAGCCCTCCCCCCACCGGGCGTCGCCACGCCGTGCTATGCCAGGCTGCGCGTTGATCTTCAATTCCATGCTACGCATGTCATGCTATGCCCTGCTACGACATCCGACGGTGCGAATAGAGAGGAGATCCACGCCACGGTGACGGATGGGAGGGAGGGGCAGGACGTCAAATACGACGCGAGCGCACCTAGATTGCCCCCCCCCCTCCCCTCCCCTCTCTCCCCCCCCTTCTCCCCCATCCCCCCTCGCCGAAGGTGGAGAAGGAGCTCACCATGGTCGAGGTGGACGAGGCCGAGAGGACGGCCAGCGGCCCTCGCCACCTCCCGCCGCCCCGCTCGGGGGTGCGCGGGCCGCTCCGCGCGCTCGGCGGCGACCTCGCGCGAGCCTCCGCGCCTCGGAGGCTCGCGGAGGGGCAGCGGCGGGGGGGGCTCCTCCTCCTCCTCCTCCTCCGCCTCCTCCTCCTCCTCCTCCTCCTCCTCCTCCTCCTCCTCCTCCTCCTCCTCCAGGGGGGTGCGAGAAAATACCCCCTGGGACCCCTCCCGGGGGCGCGATCCAGCGAGGATGGCCTGCATCCCATCTTGGAACCCTCGTGTGCGATCTTGGGGCGATCTTGGGGGCCTCTTGGGCCGTCTTGAGCCGTCGGAATGCCAAGAAGAATCAAATGCCCAAATCCTTCAAAAATCTTAGGAACATCAATGATTTGTTCCTCTTCGGGCGCTCCTGGAGGACCTCTTGGAGACCTCTTGGCCCGTCGTGGATACCGCTTGAGCGCCTCTTGGGCCGTCTTGGGCCATCTTGACGTCATCCTAGGCCGTATTGGGTGCATCTTGGGCCGTCTTGGAGGCATCTTGGGGCCATCGCGCCCGCTTCCCCTCGCTGTGCCCGCGCAGAGCCGCCCAGTGCTCGAAGCGGGGCCCTGGCAGCCAGAAGGGGCGGCGCGTCGGCCAGGGCGGAGCGGGGAGCAGCTCGCCGAGCACCCCGAGGCTTCCCCCACCGCCGCGGCCGCGGCAGCCAGAAGGCGGGGAAAGGGCCGCCAGTGCGGCGCCCCGCGGGGCCACCGCCGCGGTTGGGGGACCTCGCAGTTTCCCCCAGGCTGCACGCGGTGGCGAGGAGCGCGCGGACGCGCCTCAGGCGCCGCCGACGAGGGCGCCTCGGCCGCGCGCGGGGAGCGCGGCCGCGTAGCCGCGTGCGTGACATCTGGGGCCCTGGCGTCTGCGCGCAGACGGTCGCCAGGGCCTCTTTGATGAAGCTCCAACCCTTCCTTTTCCTCGGGTTCCTCCTCCTCCTCCTCCTCCTCCTCCTCCTCCTCACCTTCATCCTCCTCTTCCATCTGGCTGAGTGTCCTGATAATCGCCCTTCCTTTCCTGACCGTCAATGTTATCCACCCCTACTCCGTCCTCCATCTCCTCTTTCTCCTCAATGTTAGCCAGCGCGGGCCCCGAAGAGTGAGTCGTGGCAAACTATTGCAATGTACGCGGCGAAATCTAAGTGATGCAGTCAACCTGGTGCAGTTTTGGTGACGCGATCCATGTGATGAAGTCAAATCAACGCAGAACAACGCAAAGCGTTGCGCAACCAGGCATGGCAAGACAAAGCAATGGAACGGATTTCAATGCGATTGCAATGCGAAGCCTTGCAGCGCAATGCAAAGCAATGCAACGAAGTGAACTCAATGCATACGAATGCTAACCAATGCAAAGTAAGACGATAGTGCTGAAAAGCAGCGCAAGTCAACGCAACGCATTCCAAATCAACGCAATGAAATGCAACACGATGCCAAACAATGCGACGCAATGCGATTGCAACGGAGTGGAATGTCACTTCAACGCAACGCCCCGCAATGCAAAACAACGCACATCCATCTGAAGCATTGTAGTGTGTCGCGAAGCAGTGCAGGACAACGCGCAGCAACGCGACCGCAATGCGATTGCAATGCATCGCAATGCGATTGCAACGCAACGCGATTACAACGCGATGCATTGCGACTGCAGTGCAATTCGATTGCGATTGTGCCGCCAACGGTGCCGCAAACGGGTTCGTCTAACCGATTGCAATCGATCAGAATGCAACGATTCGATTGCAACGGGGGGGGTGCAACGGGGCGGCGGCGTCGAGGTGGCGAGGGGGCGGCGACGGCGACCATAAGGCTGCGGACCCGACAACGAAGCCCAGCCGACGGGCAGCGACGAGGCGGCGACGGGGCGGCGACGGCGACCACAAGGCGGGAACCTGGCAACGGTGCCCGGTTCTTTAGATAAACTATAAAACACCGTTCGGGGAATAACTAAACTCTTTATCCGCGCATTTGTGTTTTTCTTCTTCTCCTCCTCCTCCTCCTTCACCCTTCGTCCTCCTCCTCCTCCTCCTCCTCATCGTCCTCCTCCTCCTCCTCATCATCATCGTCCTCCTCCTCCTTCTCTTCCTCCTCCTCTTCCTCCTCTTCCTCCTCTTCCATCTTACTGTTCATCCTCACCATCGCCCCTCTTTTCCTGAACCTCCTGTTTGTCCTCTTCCGTTCCCTCCTCCTCTTCCTCATTATCCTCCTCCTCCTCCTACTCCTCCTCCTCCTCCTCCTCCTCCTCCTTCCTGTTACTCCTCCTCCTCCTCCTCCTCCTCCTCCTCCTCCCCCTCCTCGTCCTCCTCCTCCTCCTCCTCCTCCTCCGCCTCCTCTTCCTCCTCCTCCTCCTCCGCTTCCTCCTCCTTCTCCTCCTCCGCCTCCTCTTCTTCTTCTTCCTCCTCCTTCCACCTCTCCTTCTCAATGAGTTCCATCCTTCTCCACACCTTCCTTTCGCTCCTCCTCCTCCTTCTCCTTCTTCTCCTCCGCCTCCTCCTCCGCCTCTTCGTCACCCTCCCCCCGCCTCCCCGCCATCCATCCCCGCCGCTTGGCCGCTGCGCGCGCGCCGCCGCTGCCCTCGCCTCCCCCTCCCCCCCGCCAGCGGACGCCCAGGACAGCGCTCCTCACGGCGCTGCAGCTCACGAACGACCCGAGGGCCCCTCCCGCCAGGGGCGGTTGCGCGAGATCCAGGTCGGTTATTGCCAGGACCCTGGTTAAGGGGAGCCGTTTAGAAATTGGGCCCCGAGATCCAACATATGCACCAAAAATCACTAAACCAGGTCTGCCGTTGGTGTTTTCGGGTGACGGCAGTTCCGGTTGGTGGAAGGGAGAGGGGGAGGGGTGGGGCGTCCCCCGGTACGCACTATTAAACCAGGTCCCACTAAGTCCAGACTTGCTAACGCCCGATCAGGGACGACTCACAGCCAAGACGCTGAAATAGGGGCCGCTTCGGGTTGGGAAGGGGCTCGCTGTTCCTTGGGTCCTTCCGTGGTTGTTCATCTAGCCTTCCTCGTGCGCCCAGGCTCTTTCGGTGCCGAAAAGGGGCTTCGTTCCTTATTATGGTGCCTTGGGCTGTCTTGGAGCGATCGGACTCTCTTCGGCTGTCCTGGTCCCCTCCTGGGCCAACCTGGAGCCCCCTTAGGGCTGTACTGGGCCGTCAGGTTTTTTCTGGGCCATCATTGGGCTCTTTGGGTGTCCCTTGGTCTCCGCGAAGGCCATCTTGGAACCATCTTGAAGTGGGAGGGCTGGGAAACACATAATACTTTCTCTCTCTCACACCTTCGGCTTTCTTTTGGTGCTTAAGTAAACTTGGCCTTTCTGGCTTGCTTCTTGGCCTTCTCCATGGTGCCCTGGAAGCCTGCGTGGCGCCTCTCGGGGCCTCGTTGGGGGCTGTTCGGTGCCTCTTCAGACAATGCCATCTTGGATCATATTGGCGGCCGCGGTGGCCTTCCTGCGAATCATTTTCAACCATCCTGTGGTGTTGGGTCCTCGCTTTGAGGAGACGGTCCCCGTGTCCTTCCTTCCCTCCTTCCTTCCTTCCACCCGTCGTCACTCTCTTCTTTCCTCCTCCCCCCTCCTCCCGCACCCTGGACTGTGCCGCTTTTTCGAGGCGCGCTCCCCCGGCTGAGGGGGCCTGACCCCCCTTTCGAGGATGGCCGAACCCAACCTCCCGCACCCGCCTCTGCTCTCCGCATGTCCACTTCGGCACACCCCTTACGAGCTTCGTGGCCCCGTGGGGAGCTCCACCCAGGGCCCCAGTGGCTGCGCCCGCGTGCCTAGTCCACGCCATGCCGGCACGTCTCTTACACCTCCTGTTCCCTCCTCCTCCTCCTCCTCCTTCTCCTCCTCCTCCTCCTCCTCCTCCTCCTCCTCCTCCCCTCCTCCTCCTCCCTCCTCCCTCCCTCCTCCCTCCCCTCCTCCTCATCAATCATCTTCTTTCTCTTCTTCTCTTCCTTCTTCTTCCTCCTCCTCCCCTCCTCCTCCTCCTCCTCCCTCCTCCTCCTCCCCCTCCCCCCCCTCCCTCTCCCTCCCTCCTCCTCCTCCCTCCTCCTCCCGTCTCGCGGGCCCATAGGCAGCCCCACCTACGGCAGACCGAAATCTGCGCCCGCAGGCTTGGTCCACGCCGTTTCGGCGCCAGTTTCGGGGTCCCATAGCGAGCCCCACCCAAGGCCCAAAAATCTGCGTCCGCGTGCCTGGTCCACGCCATTTCGGCGCACCCCTCACACGTTTCGTGGCCCCAAGAGGAGCTCCACCTAAGGCCCCAGTCAGTGGTTGCTCCCGCATGCCTGGTCCACGCCATGTCGGCACACCCCTCACACGTTTCGTGGCCCCAGAGGGGGCTCAAGGCTCCAGCGGCTGCGCCCGCATGTACCCCTCACACGCATAGGGAGCTCCACCTGAGGCCCCAGTGGCTGCGTCCGCAGGCTTGGTCCACACCATTTCGGCGCACCCCTCACACGTTTCATGGCTCCAGTGGTTACGTTCGCATGTTTGGTCCACACCATGTCGGCGCACCCTTCACACGTTGGGTGGCCCAAAGTGAACTCCATTTGAGACCCCAAGGGTTGTGCCCGCATGCCTTCTCTACGCCGTTTTGGCACAGCCTTCACACGCTTCGTGGCCCCATAGGGAGCTCCACCTAAGGCCCCAGTGGCTGCGTTCGCATGCATGTTCCACGCCGTTTAGGCTCACGTCTCACACGTTTCGTGGCCCCAGAGGGAGCTTCACCGAAGGCGCCAGTGGCTGCAGTCTGATGCATCTTCTCACAATTTCCGCGCACCCCTCACACGTTTCGTGGCTACATATGGGGCCCCACCGAAGGCCCCAGTTCCAAGAGTCGCATGCGCGACCGCGCCCACTTCGTCGCGCCCCTAACCTGTTTCGAGGCCCCATAGGGAGCTCCACGTTAGGCCCCAGCGGCAGGAACCGCATGCGTGACCGCGCCCATTTCGGCACACTCCTCACACGTTCCGTGGCCCCACAGGGAGCTCCACCGAGGCTCCAGCGGCAGGATTCGCATAAGTGACCGCACCCATGCCGGCGCACTCCTCACGCGATTCGTGGCCCCATACGGAGCTCCACCGAAGGGCCCGCCAGATGTTGCCCCCCTGGGCCGCGCCGACGGACGCAGATCAGACGTAACGGGTTACATTCAGATGTAATGTGTTACGGTCGATTCTTGCGACCCCATCGGCGATGTCGATCCGTCCTTCCCGCGCACGCCTTAGTAATTTGCTAGCCCGTTCCCTTGGTTTCCATCTGTCTTGCGGTATTCTCAGCTGCATCTGGATGGGCCCTTCTCCAGGCTAGTTTTCTATCCGCCGGCGGGTGTGCCGTAGATGACCATAACCCCACACATGACCCCATCATGCAAGGCAAGATCAGAACGTGGGGGGCTTTCAACATTGAACATGAGGAGGAAGAGGGGAAGGAGGAGGAGGAGGAGGAGCAGGAGGAGGATGTGGCGAATGGGCAGGCAGAAGAGCAGGATGATAAGGAAGGATGAGGAGCCACAGGAGGAGCACGGTGAACACAATGATCAGGGGAAGGCGGATGAACGACGGGGCCAAAGCGTCGATCCTCAAATGCGGCCAGAGATGCAGCGAGAGCATCATTTTGGAAGACAGGAGAAACCAGCGCTGGAAATCCTGAGAGTGAAACGGGGACCAGATATGCAGGAGGGACAGCGTCCCCGTAGAAGACAGCATCAGGGGAGAGATGGAGAGAGAAAGAGCTAGTACTCACAGTGTAGATGCTACAGGACCGATGCGTTCCGGGCTGACTGGGCCGCCACCTCGCACGGGTCCCACCCTGAGCCGGGGCCGCCTCACTGGCGTCAAGAGCTGCATGCTCTGAGCGCCTCGCCTGCCCGCAGCCCCCTCTCCGCGGCCGCCCTCGCCTTCCCCCGCCCCCCTGGTGTCAACTTGCCGCTTTGCGGCCCCTTCCCCCTGCGGGTCCAATCGGCCCTGGGGGAATCGGAATCCCCCCCGCTGCGGTTGGGTCATTTGGCGTCATTTGGTTGCAGACATCCTCCGAATCCTGAACCCCAGCCGTCTTTTCAGAAGTCTTACCCGCAGGGGTAGGTCTCGCATGTGGTTGCCTAGAGCGTTCGCCGGCGCCGCGACACAAATGTTGAGTCATGTTCGAGAGATCGTGGTCAAGGCGGTGCAGTGCACAGTTGTTTTGGCCCCGAGGGCTGAAAAGATTGTGCACCGTACCCTACCATTCCTGGGCCGAGGACGCCTCGGGAGAGGCCCACGAATTGCACGGTGCGCGCAATTCGGCCGCGGAGCTTTCCAGGCCGTTTCCAGGCCACCCTTAGGCCCGACCCCATCTTTGAGCCACCGATTAACGCACCCTGGTCGCGCGCAGGTCCAGGCCATAGGCAGGGACGTGGCGTCCGCGGTACGGCTCAGCGTCGCCATCAGCTCCGAGAAGGACGAGCCCGGCCGTCCCGGAACGCCTGCCCCGGCGAGGATGGGGGGGAGGGAAGCCGAGGGAGGGGGGGGAGGAAGGAAGGCACCGAGGCTCAGAGGGGCGGTGCCTCTCAGGGGCAACGACAGAGGTTCCAGGTGCCAGGGGGGAAGCTGTTCTTGTTTGAGGCGCGAGGTTTGAGGGCGTTTTCGTGGGTCCTTGGGCGGTTTTCTAGCCTCGGGATGCCTTCCAGCAGCTGCGCCTGGCCACGAGCGTTCCGGGGGGGGAGGCGGCGAGGCTCAGAAGGGGGAGGAGGGGCAACAGTAGGGAGGCGGGGGTAGTCATGGGAGGGGATAGGCATGGGTGGGAGGAGACGGCGAGGCTCAGAAGGGGGGAGGCGGGGGCACCGACAGGGGGGGGGATAGGCATTGTACACCAAATCACCCCAACCCAACCCGAGGACCCCAAGTTGCCATCCATTCCCAGCGTGGGGGGGCATTCGGGGGCGGTAGGGAAAACCCATATGGAACCCGTAGCCACCTCAACCCGAAGTTTGGGACTTCGGGTTGGGTTGGGATGGTCTGGTAGGTAGTCACATAGGCATGGGGGGATGCAGTGACCTTCAATCGTCAACTCATCGCCGATACGGGATTGATATCCCCACCCCGCCCAGCGAAGTGGAGATTTGCTATCGGGGGCATATCGCCTACCAATCGGCGATGTATCGCCGATTCGAGGTCGATGTTTCTCCCCTATGCCAGTCTCCCCTATCGTTGCCACGTTGGGGAGGCGGAGGCTTACGGGGCACGGGAAGGAGACAATCGGTGAACAAGCAATGGCATGAGCATAAAAACCCGGTGGTCCGCGCAGAGTTCTCGGATCTGCGCTCGGACCCCCTGGCGGCGCCTCCAGCGCCGCCCCTGGCGCGCTCCAGGGAGGGGGTCCAGCGCAGATCTGCGAATTGAAATCCGCGCGAACTTCCGAGTTGTTATGTTTGCGTCATGGTTTGCCCACCTAGACAAAGGCTTTCACCTGGGTGGATCGCAGCCCAGGTCAGCTGACAACAAGTTCTCGCTCCGATGAGCTCCCCCTCCGTTTTAGATCTATCAGAACTGAGGGGCCTTTCTCCTTTCTTCCGTTGATGCTCGCGCAGGGGGGGGGGGGGGCTGAAGGGAGAGGAAGAGCGGGGATTATGGGAGGGGCCATGGGGGCGAAGGCTTGGGGGCCAGGGGGCGAGGGTAGCGGGGAGCAGTGGGAGGTGGCAGGCGGGCGACGAGGCTCAGATCGACGAAGTACAACCATCACACACAAACAGAAATGCAGGCGCCTGCATTAGCGGCACGTTCTGCTTCCATACAAAACCGTCGGGCTCCGTCACCCAACCGGGCGGCATTGGCGCCATGATTCGGGGATCACGTTCCCAGATCCAGGGATTTGGCGCCCACGCGCCAGATGCACGGATCCCTAGTTCATGGTTAGCGTGTGCTTGATCTGAGGGAGGAGACGGAGGTGGATGTATGGGGGGCAGGGGGAGGGGACATAGGGGGGAGGAGGAGCGAGGATCGCGTCCATCTGGGAGGTTTCGTTGTCTCTCGAACGTTTCTCGCCTGGAGGCCCGAGTTGTGACCCAAACGCCACTAGGCGTCGAGGGGCGAGGGGGAGTTGACGGCGGGGGGGGGAGAGCAGGGGGAGAGGAGGGGGAGGAGGGGCAGGGGGTAGGGAGGAGGAGGAGGAGGGAGGAGGAGGAGGGAGGAGGAGGAGGAGGGGAGGGGGAGGAGGGAGGAGGAGGAGGAGGGAGGAGGAGGGAGGAGGGAGGGGGGAGGAGGGAGGAGGGAGGAGGGAGGAGGGAGGAGGAGGGAGGAAGAGGGCGGGGCTAGGGCGAGGGTTAATCCGTACCAGAGCGTTTTGGAATGCCCGCAGAGCGCTCTGAGAAGGCCGTGGCGCCCGATACATTTTACAGAGCCGCCGAATCTCAGAGATTCTCGATTCATCCTCACCCGAGCTTGTCCTCGCCCTGGCTTCGTCGTAAGGAGGAAGAGGCTAGAAGACCACACTGAGCCTACTGCGCACCAGTGACGCGAGGCGCACGGGTGCTCCTTGCGGCGAGCGCCAGGCCGGCAGGGCGAGGGCCCCGCTGGCTTCGGGCCCCACGGGCCCTGGCTCAGTACAGTCGACCCGCAGAGCAAGGATAGGCATCCCTCCCAAGGGTACCCTCGCGTCCTTGCTTCCTGGGTCCATCCTTGGACATTTTCGTTGGCCGCGCCCCGCTCGAAACGCTTCGAGATGGGCGTCCAAGGGCCTTGCATCCTTATCGCGCATCCTTCCTCTGCGGGTTGACTGTATCGTCCAGCCGACGCCCATCGCCACTGGGCATGTCCTCCCCACTCCGTCTCTCGAGTGTATCAGCGCGCCCCAGGGTCAGGCAGTGGACGAGAGAGCCACGATTTAGCGTCGATCAGCGCCGAGTTGGTGTCGACTCGCGTCGATGAAGCGTCGATTGGCGTCGATTCGCAGGGGCCCGCAAGACGGCACGGAAGGCTCCCACGATCTGCCACAGAACTATCTCGGCCCCACCAGCCCGCCTTCCCGGTTGGGGATCGGCCCCACGAAGCCCGACGGGAACATCGTACAGTATTTATCCCATCTAGGTGGGTCAATCGGCCAGTGGGGCCTAGGCCAGGGCCTCTTCGGGCCATCCCATGGGCCCGCGCGGGGGCGATGGAAGGAGCTGGAGGAGGACGAGGAGGAGGAGGAAGAAGAGGAGGAAGAAGAAGACGACGATGACAACGACCACCACGACGACAAGGAAGAGGAGAAAAAGGACAAGGAAGAAGATGAGGACAAGGACTAGGACGAGGACGAGGAGGAGTAGGAGGAGGAGGAGGAGGAGGAGGAGGAGGAGGAGGACAATGAGGACGTGAACCAATCCGTCAAAATCACCTCTTGGAGCTCTCTTGGGAACCTTCGGGGGAAATTGGGGTCCTCTCGGGGCTCTGTTGGGGGTCTTGGGGTCCTCTCGGGGCCCTTCTGGAGCCTTCGGGGGTGCCGTCGTGAGAGCCCTGGAGGGCCTCTTGGGGCCATCTTGGGGGCCGTCGATCAGAAGGGTTGGGGTCCCCGATTTCGCTCCCGCCCCCAGAGCCGTCGGAATCGCCTCTTGGAGCCCCCTTAGGGGGGCTCTTGGGCCGCTCTTGGGCGCTCTTGTGGTCGTCTGGGGGGCCTCTTGGGCCATCTTGGGGCCATCTTGAGGCCTCATCGGAAGCGAAACGGCGAGAAGGCAAAACACCATGATTCTTTCGAGGTGTTGAGCGGATTTGGGCCTCTTGGGGGGTCCTGAGGGGGCTCCGAGAGCGCTTACAACCGTTTTGTGGCCCTCGCTGGGCCTTTTGGAGGTATGTTGGAAACTATATTATACCATTGTCGGCCATCTTGGAGGCCATTTTGGAGCATCGGAGGTCTCTTGTAGCCATCTTGGGCGCCTTGACATTCCGCGCCCCCTCCCCAAACAAAAACACACAGTATCTTGGCGAAGGGCACAGCCGTCTGCAGTCGTGAGTATCGCCGTTGTGGATATCGCCTTCGGTGGATCTCTTTATGGGGCCACGAAGCGCGTGAAGGGTGTGCCGACATGGGGCAGGGACGCATGTGGGCGCAGCAATTGGGGACTTCGGTGACGCTTCGCATGGGGCCACGAAGCGAGTGAGGGGTGTGCCGAAAGGGAGCGGGGCCGCCATGCGAACGTCACCACCCGGGCCTTCGATGGAGCTCCCCATGGGGCCACGAAGCGCTGTGCTGAGTGGGGGAGACGCATGCGCACACCGCCATTAGGGCCTCGGGTGGAGCTCCCTATGGGGTCACGAAGCGTTGTATTGGGTTGGGGGGATGCATGCGAACACCGCCGCTGTGGCCTTCGGTGGTGCTCCCTATGGGGCCACGCAGCGTTGTGCTGTGTGGAGGAGACGCATGCGAACGCTGCCACTAGAGCCTTTCGGTGGAGCGACATGTGGGGCCACGAAGCGCCAGGCTGGGTGGGGGAAACACATGCGGACACCGCCTCCAGGGACTTTGGTGGAGCTACATGTGGGGCCACGGAACCTTGCACGGGGTGGGAAAACCGCATGCGAACATTGCCATTGGGGCTTTCGGTGGGGCCCTCTTTTGAGGCCACGAAACGTTGTAGTGGGTGGGGGAACCGCATGCGAACACCGCCGCTGTTGCCTTCGGTGGAGCTCCCTATGGGGTCACGAAGCGTGTGAGGGGTGTGCCAAAGTGCTCATGTGGCGGCATGCGAACGCAGCCATTGGGGCCTTAGGTGGAGCTCCTCTTGGGGCCACGAGACGTGTGAGGGGTAGGCCAACGTGGACAGGAGGCGACATGTGAACGCAGCCACTGGAGCTTTCAGTGGAGCTCCCTATGGGACCACGAAACGCGTGAGGGGTGGGCCAAATCGCTCAGGTGGCGGCATGTGAATTCAGCCAATGGGGCTGTGGGTGGAGTTCCATATGGGGCCACGAAACGTGTGAGGGGTGGGCCAAAGTGAGCAAGTGGCGGCATGTGAACGCATCCTCTGGGGCCTTCGGTGGAGTTCCATATGGGGGGACGCAGTGTGTGAGGGGTGCACCAAGGTGAGCAGGTGGTGCCATGTGAACGCAGCCGCTGGGGCCTTGGTGGAGCTCCAGATGGGGCCACGAAACGTGTGAGGGTTGGGCCAAAGCGAGGGGCCCAGGGGGTGACGGGAGGAGGGAAGAGGAGGAGGAGGAGGAGGAGGAGGAGGAGGAGGAGGAGGAGGAGGAGGAGGAAGAGCAGGAGGCGGGGACCGTCTCTTCAAAACAAGGACCCAGCACCACCGGATGGTTGCGGAAAAAACCTCAGGGAGGGGGGGGGGGGAGGGGGGAGGTGAAGGAAGAGGTTTTGTTGGAAGAGGAAAGGCAGAACTCGTCAGACTGCTCTAGCTTAAAGAGCTGATGGGATCCCCCATGACTCCGCAACTGCATGAAGGCTGGCATGTATATATATAGATAGATATAGATATATGTATATATCGGCTTCTGACTGCCTTCAGGAAAAAAAGTGTCGCCCGCGTCACGGTGGGGACACTCTCCTCCCTCCCTTTGCCAGGTAAAGGCGAACAGCTTTCGGAATTGCGATCGCTGCACCATCATACCCAGGACGATTTTGGCAGATAGATCCCCGGCGGGGGCGCGAAGATCGCGCTTCGCGCGTCGCGGCCTGGGCAAGAGCGGTTGCCCTTTTCCAAGGCGGCCGCGCGCGGGCGCGAGGGTGCGAAGATAACCGCGCATCGCAGGGCTCGATGCGCGAGGTTAGGCGACCTGCAATGCAGAGGGCGGGAGTGACGCTACGCGGGTGTGCTGCTGCAGCCCGATGCAAGCAAGTGCTACCACGCCGCTGTTTTCTGGCGTCCCGAGTGCGCGCACTCAAATGGGGACCGCACTGGCAGGCATCCACGAGGATGGGTCGGCGGGCTTGCGGGCGCTTGTGCGCTGCATCCTGGTTCAGCGAATGTTCCTGATACGGTCAGACCGAGGTATGAGATCGAGGTCGGTTCGGGGAGCGTGCCCTAATGCTCTTCGTGTTAGTCAGATGATCTTGTGCTTACTGGGGGAGGGTACCCTCGAGTGATCTTTTGGTTTGGGGCGTTTTGGCTGGCGGATGGTCTCATGTTCTTGAAGGATGTCCTTCCGTCATACGTCAGACCGTACGGCCCTCCAGCAAAGGGCCATTACTTCAGGCGCGGCGATCTCAAGCCTGCGGCAGGGACAGCTCGTTTTCTAGGGCCCTTCAGCGATGAGAGCCATCTCCCCAGGCCCTCGGGCGTGGGAAGGCACGGGAGCCCCGCACCCCCACGCCGCGACCCGCGGAGCCGAGCCACCCGCGCCGCGGCAGCCCTGGGGAAGGGTAATCTCGAAGGATCTTCAGTTTGGCAGGCGTGGAGTCTCATGTTCTTGAAGAATGTTCTCCTGTCCTTGGTCCGGCTGCAATCGTCGACTCCCAGAGGAAAATATTGGGAATATAGGAAGTGGAGAGAAAGGCTAACATCGAGAACACATAGACCATGTGGGGAATCCTTGGATTTGTGTCTGTTTATTTGTGTCCCTGGGCCCCTTGAAGCGTTGTTTCCCCTGGGGCTGGCCTGTTGGCCGTGCAGGGTGAGGCCGAGCCCGAGTTCCGCGCCCTCGCACGCACCGCCGAGGACGCCCCGCCGCCGGCGCCGAGCCCTCCGGCGGCCACCGAGCTCACCCGAGCGCGCTCCACTGCTCGCAGGGTGCCTGCTCGCAGGCGTCAGGAAGGCACACGTTTCCCACGACGTGATGGCTGGCGAGTGCCCCGTGGCGGATCCAGGCCACCTGCGAGCAGTCACACTGCGACCTGGCATCGCTCGGACGTGTGCATTTTTTCTCGGCGAGGGCCATCGAGGAGCATCCTTGATCATTTGGCGAAAAACCACGCACGAAACCGAAAAAAAAAACAGGAAATGGACGTCCGAGCAAAGTGCCTGCTCGCAGACGCCAGGAAGACGCGGGCGACGCAAGAAAGGGGTGGCCTCCGCCGGCATCGGCGCGTGAGCTGCTCGCGTGAGGTGGCGCGTAGGTGTCCTCGCTTCCAGTGCAGCGTGCCGTGTCGGCGGCCTGCGTAGGCCACCGCGTAAGGCCTCCATGTCATCTCGCGAAAGACCCGTTCACATGGAGGAGGAGGAAGAGAAGGAGGAGGAGGAGGAGCAGGAGCAGGAGCAGGAGCAGGAGCAGGAGCAGGAGCAGGAGCAGGAGGAGCAGGGGACGAGGAGGAGGAGGAGGAGGAGGCGAGGAGGAGGAAGAGGAGGAGGAGAAGGAGGAGGACGAGGAGGAGAGGAGGAGGAGGAGGAGGAAGAGAAGGAGAAGGAGGAGGACGAGGAGGAGGAAGGGGAGGAGGAGGAGGAGGTGTTGTCCTCGATGGCTCGCGGATCCCCCGCGGCGGATCCCAGCCAACCGCGAGCAGTTACGTTGCGAGTAGTGGAGCACGCTTGTCTACAAGAGGTCCGCGCGAGTGCCGGCGGCCGCTCGAGCGCGAGCACTGCGAGCGGCCGCTGCGGGGGCAGCGGCGGCGGCGGTCCGCGCCCTGCGTCGGCTCGCCTTCGAGAGGGGGTGCTTTGCGTCGCTTCGCTGCATTCGGCAAGGGCGCCCTCGAGGGCGCGAAGTTATTCGCGCTTCGTGGTTCGGCTCCGATTCCTCCTCATCCTCCTCTTCTCCCCCACGGCGCGAGAGCGCGAAATTATTCGCGCTTCGCGCAGCGCGAAGCGCGAAGTTGGGAGCCCTTGGCGTTGCGTCGCTTCGCTGCATTCGGGAGGGGTTCTTCGGGAGCGCAAGTTCGGCCCGCTGTGCCCGTGCGTGCGGTCTCGTCCTACACCAACGGAGGAGGTCAGGCGGGTTTCTCCCCGTATGCTTCGAGGTGGTCGTGCCAATCACCTCGTCGCATCGCTTGGGCAGCGGCCGTGCGAGCAAAAGGTCAGCCTTCTCCTCCCCGTTCGCCCTCCCTCACCTCCCTCCACCCTCTTCCCTTCCCCATTTTCCTCGTCCTCCTCATCATCCTCCTCCTCCCCCTCCTCCTCCTCCTCCTCCTCCTCCTCCTCCTCCTCCTCCTCCTCCTCCTCCTCCTCCATCCCTTTATACATTACTCCTCCCTGTCTCGCCCTCAGACGTGTCGGTAGGGCGGGCCAGGCGTTTCGCACGAGATTTCTTTACCATGTTTGACCGTGAAGCTGGAAAGGTGGAACAATTTCACGGATGGCGGCCGGGTCCTTTTCAGAATGTGGTTCTCGCATCAGCGCCACGAACATTCGTTTTCAAAGCACGCAACAGTTTCAAGGATGGGGAGCGAGTCTTTTTCAAATTGTGGTTCTCGACTTAGCGCCGCACACATTCATGTTTGAAAGTTTGTACCAGCTTCATTGATGGGGATGGCTTCTTTTCAGAATGTGGCTGTCGCAGTAGCCCCACGCACACTCGTCTTGAAAGTTTGCAACAGCTTGAAAGGTTCGTCTCAGGAAAGGTGTCCTGACACGATGTAGGATTGTCAGGACGCCACAGTATCGTCGATCCGCGGTGTTGAAAGCATAGCAGTGATTTTCTGACACGGTGTACGATTGTCAGGACGCAACAGTCACGTTGATTCGCGGCGTCGAAGTCCCAGGAACGGTGCTGTGGCGCGACTGAAGATTATCATTTTGTTGTCTTCCAATGGGTTTTCCCACAATGGAAATGATGCGATTTGGATTGCGAATGCCTTACGGCCGATGCCGCCTACCCTGAACGGGAACGACAACGGCGGCGGCGGCGGCGACGACGACGACGACGACGCTGATGTGGGTCAGAGTCCTCATGGATGCTTCTTGGGTTCTCTTCGAAGCGCTGTCGGGGTTCTCTGGGGGACAGTTTAGGGGCCTCTTCGGAGCATCTTGGGGGCCTCTTGGGAGACTCTTGGGGGCCTCTCGGGGCTTCCTGGGGGGCTCTTGGGGGTCTCTTGGGGCTTCTTGGGGGCCTCTTGGGGGCCTGGGAGCCTCTCGGGGCCGAGGGCTCGAAATGTCTGTTCTAGTCCCTCGTCTGGGCATTCTCTTGGAGCCGTCTCGCGTGCCTCTTGGGCCGGCTTGGAGGCGTCTTGGGCCGTCTTGGGGCTCTCTTGGGCAGTTTTGGGTCCCTCCTGGAGCCCTCTTGGGCCGTCTTTGGGCGATCTGGGGGGCATCTTGGGCCGTCTTGGAGCGTCGGGAAGCGGAAGAGGCGAGAACGCCGAAATGTTTCGAAAACCAATGGGAAACCAATGAATTTCCTCTTGGGGCCAACTTGAGAGTGCGCCTGGAGGCTCCTTCCCTTGGGGCGTCTTGCAGGGCTTTTCGTTCAAGGCGTCTTGGACAGATCGTTCGGCGATTCGGGGCCCTCTTGGACTGGCCTGGGGGCCTCTTGGAGCACTCTTGGCCCGTCTTGGGTTTTTTTGGGGGGCCCCAGGACCCTCTGGGGAGTGTCGTATCTGACCCGGGATCCCCCCCCAGGGACCCACCGGGTCCGGACCCAGGACCCTGCCCTCTCCCAGCGGGGGAGTGATCCAAGGGAAGAGGCTTCTTTTCGAGTCAATTTCGACGTTGCTTAATTTCGCTTTGGCTGGCGCGCCTGAGCCACCTGCATTCCCCGGAAGGGTCTTTTGTCCTCTCGCGTGTCCTGTCTAACGAAATCCGATTGTAGGGAAGGGTGGGGAGGGGCGGCGACGGGCCCAGCGCTTGAGGAGGAGGGCCCAGGGAGAGGGGGGGGGAGCGGCGAAGAGCCCAGGGAGAGGGGGGGGGGTCGCAGGGAAAGGGGGCGACAGAGCCGACGACAAGCGAAGAACGGAGACGACGACTCGAAGAGACAGGCCCCTCACACCACACGCCGACAGGGTCGGCGGATTTACACATAGTTACGCTTGTCCTTCTCCTGCCCCTCCTCGCTTTCTCCCGCTGCCGCGCGCGCGCGCCCCAGGAGTTTCTCATGCAGCAGGTCGAGTCCGCCCTGCTCCACCAGTACGGCTCCATCCAGAGCCTTCGGAGAGACGTCCCCCACCTCCACATCCTCTTGCTTGTCCTCCAATTTCTCCTCGCCCCCACTCCCCCTCCTTCTCCTCGCCTCCTCGTCCTCCTCCTTCCTTTTTTACAACATGTTTCTCCTCCTCCTCCCTCCTCCTCCTCCTCCTCCTCCTCCTCCTCCTCCTCCTCCTCCTCCTCCTCTTCCTTTTCCTCCATGTCATCCTCCTCCTCTTCCTCCATGTCCTCCTCCGTCTCCTCCTACTCCTCCTCCTGTTCCCCATCCTCATCTTCCTCCCTGTCCTCCTTCTCTTCCCCCCCCTTCCCCTCCTTCTGTTGCTGCTCCCCTCCCGTGTTCCAGCGCCCCCGTGGCACCATCGTGACCACTGGGAACACAACAAAAGGGTCCGCTACGACGATCGGTACTGTGGGCGCCCGCCGACCCCTCAGGGCCCGCGGGCGTCCCCGCGCCGCTGCACGCCAAGATTTGCCTGGTCATGTGGGAGAAGGAGGAGGAGGAGGAGGAGGAGGAGGAGGAGGAGGAGGAGGAGGAGGAGGAGGAGGGGGAGGAGGGAGGAGGGAGGAGGAGGAGGAGGAGGAGGAGGAGGAGGAGGAGGAGGAGGAGGAGGGGGAGGAGGGAGGAGGAGGAGGAGAGGGGGAGGAGGAGGAGGAGGAGGAGGAGGAGGAGGAGAGGAGGAGGAGGAGGAGGAGGAGGAGGAGGAGGAGGAGGAAGAGGAGGAGGAGGAGGCGGAGAAAGGAGCCCCGGGCGGCATGACCCTACAGGATGTCCCCTCCCTTTCCCCCGTACTGTCGGGTTTCTTCGCCCCCCTGGTTACGTGGCAACCTGGTCTCTCACACGCGCTGTCTCGGCTTTTCGCCTGTCTTCTTCTCTCCTCCTCCCCCCTTCCCGTCCTTCTCCCTCCCCCGCCCCCTCCCCCGGCCCGCGCCGCCATGGCGCTGGCCCTTCCGCGGGTGCTGCCGCGCCCGCGCCGTGCGTCCAGCGTTCCATCCTCGAACGGTCCGGCAAGGGTGTTCCTGATGCTGGTCGGCGAGGGAGTCTGACCCTGGGTCAGATCCTCGAACAGTCATGGCAAGGGTGTTCTGAGCTGGTGTTCCGAACAGTCCATCCTCGAACATCCTCGAACAATCCGATGCTGGTCGGCGAGGGAGTCTGACCCTGGGTCAACTGCTCTTCCTCGCTCCGCGCCCGCCCCCACGGGTCGCTCACAGGATCGCACAGGGTCTTCGGCCCCCGCCGAAAATCTTGCATCGCCAGTCTCTGTTGCCCATCATCGTCGTTGGCTGCGCGGTGGTGTTGTGGCTTTCTGCATTGGATCCACACTCCGTCTCCATGGCTTCACGTGCGTAGGCTTTCCTTGGTAAGTTTTGGCATCCACTGGGCCGTGCCCTTCTGGGGCACTTCGTCCATCTGGCGGCCCCGCCTACCTGTCCAAGCGCCCCAGTTTCTTTGGGCGTCTGCAGCTTCATGGGTTCCGCGTACCAGTTTAAGTTCTACCTCTTGGTGGTCTCCGGCCCCGTTCACCCGCTGCTTGTTCTGCAGCCGCGCTTGCGCCGTGCACACCTTCGGCACGCCCGCGAAGGACTCACATTTGAGTGGATCCCGCCTTTGTTCGCCTTTCCTTGTGCCCCCTTCCGCTTTCTGTGCCCCTATTCGTTCCCGGCGTTGCTGCCCGTAGTAAGACCAGCGCCTGCACAAGCTTCGACCCGCTTGCGCCTGCTGACTTAAAGAATTGGCTGTAGTTCGCTTGTGTCTGCAGCCACTGGCAGGACGGCGGCGCGCAATGGGGGGAAGTGGGAGGGAGCCGGCATTCGCAGAAAACGGCGGGGTTCGGAGAAATCCCTTTGTCTCTGAGAAGCCCCCTTGTGGCGTCGGAGAAGGCTTAGAAAACCTTCACGAGGCTGGAGGCCTACTGAGCCTCCTGGGGATACCCGCCCCCCATGCCACTCCCCTTGGGCGCGCCCTCGAGTTTAACTTTCGGACCATAACTTGGGCCTGCGATGGCCGGTCGGGGCAATCCAGGCACCCCCAGAATGTTCTCGGCGAGGTGTAGCTGCTGGAGAGCACCCCGAGGCTGGAAAACCTCCGCGAATCGACGAAAACGTGCGAGAACGTCGAATCCCCCCCTGGGGTGCGCCGCCGATGCTGGGGAGGCGCGCCGCTACAGCGGAGGCCCCCTCCCCGCTGGAGGTCGTGCCGAACGCGCTCCTGAAGCTGTGGGGGCAGGCCCACCCGCCGCGGCCAGCCGTCGCGGGGTGGGCCCAGCAGCGGCCGGGGCGAGAGGGTCATCATCACAGGCGGGCCGTTCGAGACGGCGGCCTGGGCGATGCGGGGGACGTGCAGGGGCAACGATCCGGTTTCATCGTTTTCCGGTGGTTGTCCAGCTTCGGGGTAGGCTCCAGCAGCTGCGCCCTGCCGAGAGCTTTCCGGGGGTGCCCGAGTCATCCCGACCGGACGCCGGAGGCCCGAGTTCTGGCGGTATTGGGGCGAGAGGGTCATCATCAGCCTGGCATCGCTCGGACGTGTGCATTTTTTTTCGGCGAGAACCATCGAGGACCATCCTGGACCATCGAGCAAAAAAACACGCACGAAACCGAAAAATGCACGCGAAATGGACGTCCGAGCGATGGCAAGTCAGAGGAGGACCGTTTGAGACATTGGTAGTTGGCCTTCGGGGGGGCCCTCGTCGCCACGGCTGGACGCAGCTCGGGAAACTGGTGCGTCTGGACCCCGGGAGGGGTCTGCGGTTTGGGGACCGATCCTGAGCTGATCTTGAATTTCCAGTGTCTCTAGTCGCCCCTCTCCGACATCACGATACGTAGAAGAACGTGGCTCCCGAGGCGAGAATGTTAGTCATCGATGCCGCCGCTCTGGAGGCACGATGTTCTGGCGGCCGTTGAATGACTTGCTACATGCGCGCTTTGACCACCAAGATGACGAGGGGGTGTCGGACTGGGGTGCGAGGGAGCAGTGTGTGCTGCGTCGACTGGTCATAGGCCCGCACTGTTCCAAACATTGCCTGCACGAGCACGATCCGATGCTGCCCAGCCACCTCCTCTGTGGGGAGGAGAACGGCACGCTTTTCCATCGTCACTTCGAGTTCCCAGCGCGGCAGGGGTGGCGACGGGATGTCTTGCCGAAGAAATTGGAGCAGCCAGTAGCTAGGCCGTCGAGGTGCGCGAGAGATCTGCAGGAGAAGTTTGCGCGAGGCATCCTCTTCGACCCATGCCAGGCCTTTGCCAGACCTGTTTGGGACGCAGCGTGGGAGTTCAGGGTTGAAGGGCTTGGGGCGCCGCTGGTCCTGGAGGAAGGCCATGTTTTTTTGCGACGGGTCGGGGATGGATGGTTTTTGTCCGCCTTTCCGTGTCGCGGGTTGGGGGGTCGCGATTTACGACAAAGAGTTCAGCTACATTGAGGATGGTATGGAGCGGTCCCCCCGACCGATGGGCCCGACCCAGTGGCGCGAGATGGCGAGGATTTCTCCGTTCAGATGGCCCTGCGACACATAGTAGGCTCTTTCACGGTTTATCCATATTGCAAGGGCACGATCCAGTGTCGTCGGTCCCCCGCCTTTCTCCAGTCGTTCGTCCAACATTCGGGCCCATGTGCGGCGCCGTGCCTTTGAGGAGGGGCGACCACCAGGAGCGGCCTTCAAAAAAGTTGCAGCTCATACAAGTATGTCCGATATCCGAGAAGGGCGCATCATCCTGTTTGAGCACCAGGGCAGTTCGGAGGCCGACCGTTTGTCGGCCAAGCAAGGGGCTCGATTGGCGAGACGAAACCTTGCTGTGGGGCTCATGGCGCGAGGCATGCTGGTTTCAGCACGGTCCCTGCTGAAGTTCATCAGCCAAGCTGAGGCCCACAACGCAGACCTTGGCCATTTTGACAATCTTGGGCTTCAGGGGCTCGCCAAGGTGTCGTTGGAAGACGACGCCGAGCCTGAAGAGGCTATAGAGGAGGCGAGGAGAAGGGAGGTAGTGGTGATCCTGCTGTTGCTCCTGCTCCCCCTCCAATGTGCCCCTCCTCCTCTTCGGGCGGTTTCAGTGAGCCGCCGAGTCCAGAATTGGCCTCGATGGCCATAGATCAAGATCAGACAGACGCCGTTTGTGGCCCACGGGCATGTGTTGCTCGAGAGCGAGGTGGTGGCAGAGGGCCAGCCGCCGATCCTTTGTTGCTCAACCTGTGGGGGCTAGTTATGCTACAGTCTCGCAAGGATCCAGAGGGCTCCGCATTGCCTTGGTTCCCAGCATGCCCTAGTGGACCCTGGCAGGAAGAACTCCAAAGCGGCTCTAAAAGGCAAGCACCCGAACAGACCTCTCAAGCTGGGCCCCCGGAGGTCTCCTAGGGGGGAGGCGCGAGAGCTGGTCGGGGGGTTTGGCGAAGCCTCAGGGGCCCAGCAAAGAGGAGCCAACGTTGGGCCCGATATGGCCCGTCCTGTTGTCTGTTGTCTGTCTCGCCGATTGCCTTCGAGCCTTGGGGCTAAATGAGCTCGAGGCGAGGACCTTGGGAGAACGGCTGGAGCGATCTGAAGACCAGGCGCTCGACGAATATGCAGACAGTTGAATTTCCTCCAGGGGGGTCCTGTCGCTGACCCCTGGCAGTTCCTTGGCCTTCCTGCCAGGGGTCGTAAAAGGTCCACTTGGATGGGCCCCCCCTGCGAGGGTTTATTCGGACTGTCGGACCTCTCTCTCTCTCTCTCTTTCTCTTCCCCCTGTGGCGTGCGATCCTCGCTCTCCCACCCTCCCGCTCATCTCCCACATGTACCGTTCCTGAGCCTTCTGTTTCGGCCGCCCCCCCCTCCCGGGATCGCGCGCTCCCCCCCCGGCGGCCTCGACGAGAGGGTCAGGGCCATGCCTGTCGAAGTGCGGGAGCGAGCGTGAGGTTTTCAGACTTGTCCGTCGTTTCTTTGGAAGATTTCGAGCCTCGGGATGCTCTCCTGCAGCAGCTGCGCCGCGCCGAGAGCGCTCCGGGTGTGCCCAGATCGGCCCGAGCGGCCGCCGGAGGCCCGAGTTATGGCCGCCCCACCTCGTCCCTTCTGTCTCAGCTTTTCTCGCAGCCGTGATGCACGTCTGTATATTCCGGGAGGCATGGCCTCCCCCACCTGGTCGCAGTTAGGCCCAGACGATGGTCTGCAGCGGTGCTTCGCTTCGTGGGCGAGAAAACATATTTGTATCTGCGGTCTCGCGGGTCTGGCCGCGCCTGGGCCGCGACCCCGCGGATATGGGGCGTTTTTTGTTCGCGGATGCCACGCGCGGAACGTCTGCGTGCGACCGCGTGTCCGCTCGATCGCGCCCCCGAATCCAGACCGCGAGGGCGCAGACACGGATATGCTCGCCGCTCGTGCTCGTGCGTTCGTTCCCCCCCCCGGGCCACGTGCTCGCCGCTCGTGCTCGCTCGCTCCTTCGCTTCATCGCGCGAAATGTCGCTGGGTCATGGATGACTGCTCGTGGTTACGTGCTGCTGCTGTAGCTTGTCCTTCCCTCCCGCCACCGCTTGAGGATTTCAGTGAATGGGAGTCCCTACCGCTCGCTCGCTCGCCTGACCCCGCGACATTTCGCGCGATGAAATCGCCGCCCCCCAGAACGAGCCCGAGCGCCTGCCCAGCCTGGCGGCCAGCAAGTGGCAGATGACGCTGGAGAGCGGCCGCCCGGCACCGCCCCCGCCCGCTCCCGGGGGGGGCCGCCGCGCGGGGCCCCGCCCGCGGATCCGCAGGACGTGCGCCAATCGCGGGGGGTTTCCAACAACAAACGCTTTGGAGACGGCTGAGATGACGAGGAGAAGGAGGAGGAGGACGACGACGCTTTGGAGGCGACTGAGATGAAGAGGAGGAGGAGGAGGAGGAGGAGGAGGAGGACGACGACGACGCTTTGGAGGCGACTGAGATGAAGAGGGGGATGAGGAAGAGGAGGAGGAGGAGGAGGAGCAGGAGGAGGAGGAGCAGGAGCAGGAGGAGGAGGAGGAGGAGGACGACGACGACGAGAAAGGCTGGAGTCTGACATCGGCGGCGCACCGCGCCCGCATCGGTCCGACGGGGAGCGAAACGGGAGCTCCGCCTCCCGCAAAGCTCCTGGTGGGCAATGCGCAAACTCTGCGCGTCCTCCGGGTTCGCCCTGTCCGTGTCGTCTTATCCCTCCTCCTCCTCCTCCTCCTCCTCCTCCTCTTTGTGGGTTCGGCGGACTTCAATCCTCAAATGCTGCATTGTCTAAATGGTGAAAAGACTGGCCGACTTCGGCGAAGAACGCAACAAATTAAAGCTAGCGAGCGCAGCGGAAAATGAGGCGGTGCGAAAGCGAAACCTTCCTTCTCCTCTTCCTCCACCTCCTCCTTCTTATGATTAGTGCTTCTTATTATTTTTGTTATTATTATCATCAGTGTTACTATTATTATTATTATTCTCGTCATCCTCCTCCTCCTCCTCCTCCTCCACCCCTTCGGCCCATCCTTGGCGACCAACGTCGACATGGCTTTCTCGGACCCTTACATCCATACCGAGCAACCCTGTTATACGTTTTAACACTAATCCTAATCTGCGCGTCCCCCAGGTTCGCCCCGTCCGTGTCCCCCTCTTCCTCCTCCTCCTCCTTCTCCTCCTCCTCCTCCTCCTCCTCCTCCTCCTCCTCCTCCTCCTCCTTTCCTTTTCTTGATGAATAATTTCTCCCTGTCGCACCCCGAGGCCAGTTTTTAGGATGGGCCGAACGTTTCGCCTGAGACTTCTTCACCATCTTTAACTGTGAAGCTTAACAATTGGCAACAGTTTCACAAATGGAGGGCGGGTGGTTTTCAACATGTGGCTCTCGCCTTAGCGCCGCGCACATTCGTTTTCAACATTTTCAAAAGCTTCACGGATTGAGGATGACCCGTTTTCAAAATGTGGTTCTCGCCTTCGGTCCGCGCACATTCGTTCATAACATTTGCAAGAGCTTTACGGATTGATGATCGCCCGTTTTCAAAATGTGGCTCTCGCAATAGCGCCGCGCACATTCGTTCATAACATTTGTAAGAGCTTCACGGATTGAGGATAACCCCTTTTCAATATGTGGCTCTCGCCATCGCGCCGCGCACATTCCTTTTAAAAGTTTGCCAGAGTTTCACGGATTGAGGGCGGTTCCTTCCAAAATGTGGCTCTCGCCATAGCGCCGCGCACATTCATTCGCAAAATTTGCAAGACTTTCACGAATTCCCACGATCAACGTACCAGAAATGGCGTTTTGGAAGGATTCTGGATTTCGCGGGTGCAACAGTTACGTTAATTCGCGGTATTGGAATCCCAAGAATGGCATTCTGGCACGATCCAGGATCGTCAAGACGCAACAGTCATGTTGATCCGTGGCGTTGGAATCCCGAGAAAATGTTTTGGCATGCTTCCTGATCTTCAAACGGTTGTCTCCCAACGGGGCAGACGCCTCGATGGAAATGAACCCTTGTAGGGGCCTTTTACGAGGGAGCTTGGAGGGAGGGTGTATTCCAACATCGTTGATGGCTCTTGGGTTTACACTGGTCCTCCCTCCTCCCTCTTCCTCCCTCCTTCCTCCTTCCTCCCCTTCCTCGTCCTCTGGCGGCGGCGACGTCGACGGATTCGGCTCTCCTCGCCGAGGCCTCCAGCCGCCTGCGGCGGCCCGCGGCGGGCCGCGCTGTCTTTCTCGCGGCCGCTGCTGCCGCCGGATCGTCCTCGGGGCGCCGCGCCCGGTCGGACCGACGCATAGAAGGATCGAGATCGGTTCGGGGAGGGTGCCGCAATGTTTTTCTTGCTTGCTGGATGTTCTTGTGCATCCTGGGGGAGGGTACCCTGGAAGGTACTTCGGTTTGGCCGTCGGAGGGTCCCGTGTTCTTGAAGTATGTTTTTCTGTCTTGTGCAGGTCCAGCCGTACTTCTAGGCCTCCCAGACGGGGCCTGAGCAGAGTTCAGCCTCGGAATGCTCTCTCCAGCAGCTGTGCCTCGTCGAGAGCGTTCCGCGGGTGCCAGAATCGTCCCGAACGGCCGCCTGGGGCCCGAGTTATGCCTCGAAAAACACTCCAGGCCTCCCTTGATTGGATCCGAGCAGAATGGTTCGGAGCGTCGCACCGCATCGCCGATGCGGCTCGATGTAGAGCCCGTTTTTCTCCACTCCGATGGCGCCGATGCATCGCCGACACCGCTAGTGCACCGCCGATGCATCGGCGATGTATCGGCGATGAATCGGCGATGCGGCGTGACCTTTCGACTCCATCTACTCGGACCCCATCTAGGAGGCCTCTAGTACTGCAGGCTGCCGCCGAGGCTTCGAGGCGTCGCACGATTCTTTGTCGGCAGCAAAATCCGAACACTACCCTCGCCGATCAACGGTTCAGGCAGCCCGATGGTCGGCGGGGGGAGGGTTCGGGATTCGCCGAATGTGTGGCGAAATTCGAACCCAACCCCCGCCTCCCATCGATTCAGGAGAGACGATGGTTGGTGGGGGTAGGGTTCGGATGTCGCCACCTGGCACTCGTGCCTTGGCGTTTCATCTGCTTGCTGCACTTCAGTTCGACAAGCCTGCCTCGGCTTTTCCCGAAGAGCTTCACGCTCTTGGTGCACTTCTGCCGCACCCAGCCTCCTCTCTTTTTCTCCAGTCTTCCCCCCCGCCTAAGCCAGAATTCGCTCCGCTTGTGCACGAGCGGAACTTTTCCGCAGCTCGGATCCGAGGCGCCGACGACCAGAGAGTTAGCCCAGCGTGCGTTTACCCAGCCCAGCTCCACTGACAGCACGCAGCCTTGGAGCCGGCTGGGAGCCTAATGCTGCCCAGCTCTGGTTCCGGTCAGCAGGAGAGGGGAGCAGTTTCGGGCTTCGGGGTTCGAGGAGGTGGTTTGCTTCGTGCTGCTTTCGGGGGGCTTCCCTCGGGCCCTGGGACTGTCAACAACGGATCCGGGGTGAAAGGGAGGGCCCAAGTGTGCATTTCTTCGGCTCAGCTCCACCGACGACGCGCAGCATCTTCGTGTCGAGTCGCGCCCCTATCCGTGTCGAATGCGCGTCGAGTCCGCATCGAGCCCGCGTCGGGCGTCAGAAACGACATCAATTTGGGGAACAAACGATGTCCCCCGAAGATGCAGCGTGATTCATGCAGCCTGTGTCCGCCCTCACTGCGCCGCCCGCGTCGTGCTGGGGGGCTCTGGTGGACACGCGCAAGTCTGCGTTCGACACACGTCCTGAGGATCTTCGAGCCGTAAATGGGGACATGGATAGAAACCATCCTGATTTTGCTAATTTTGTTGATTCTCCGATTCAGACTGGCCGCCGTAATTTTGGATTGATTGGGACTTCGGACCCGGGGTCATTCTGTTGTTTCTCCGATTCAAAATTGCGTCGGCGATGCACCCCGAGAGATGCAAGCGTGAGGCGGAGCTTGATGCATATGTATGGCGCGAACAGCGACGGCAAAGTAGGGCAGAGATCGGCATCGAAGGAGCTTGAGTAGTAGGGTCGGAATTTCCGCCCTACTTGCGAAAGCGTTCAAAGCAGGACATTGGCGCACACAAGGAAACAGCAGTCGTGGCTCGAAACGTTCCCTGGTCCTCGTCTTCTCCAGCTGGAAGTCTCAGAGTCATGATTCACCATGTCCGTGGTTTGTGGGGCCCGCCGAAGGGGCTTACTCCCCGAGGAGGAGGAAGAGGAGGACGCGGAGGAAGAGGAGGAGAAGGAGGAAGAGGAGGCGGAGGAGGAGGAGAAGGAGGAGGAGGAGGAGGCGGGTGCGGAGGAGGAGGAGGAGGAGGAGGAGGAGGAGAAGGAGGAGGAGGGGGAGGACCCCGATGCTGACCAGTGGTCGTTTCAAACATGGGCCGAAGCAGCCCGCTCCTTGGGAGCGTGGCGTTGCAAAACTAAAACGGACCTTTCACGAATTTCGGGTGCAGCTCTCCCAGCTCCTGTGGCTGGAGCACACTCCTTCTTGAGGTTCTGTGAGCTGCGTGCGGCATGGGCGCGCCGCAGGTCACACACACGAAGGTGCCTTTGCTAGTGACCACCATCTGGTGTGTCTCATTTGGCATCGCTCGGGCGTGTGCACTTTTTCCTTGGCGAGGACCATCGAGGAGCATGGACCTCGACGTCCGAGCGATGGCCAGCTCATGGACATGGGAGGCTCCTATGAAGGCTCGTTCCACCGCGCGGGCGCCAGGGACCGACACAGAGCCACACCAGGGGCCCGCAGGGACACAAACAGCAGACAGGAAGGCTTGCGCAGGTTTGCTACTGTACGGGTTGACCGAAACTACAGAGAGGCACCGAACACATCGAAACTAATTCCCCTCACAGGGTATCAAATCATGGGCGCCCTCGGACCTCAAACGCTTGAATGTGCCCCCCTGGGCCAGACCAGCCGCGGCCGAAGCTCGCGGCCTGCGCACGGATCTATCGCCGATGGGTCGTCTGGTTCTCGGAGTGGTATTCTCGTCGGGCGCCTGACATCTACTCAAGAAAATCTCGGTGGCTCTAATTCTCACGGCCCTGGTGAGGGCTAGTCAACTTTGTGGCCTCGACGAGGCCTGGCTCCAGCTGGACCCTTGGCTGCCTCATCAGCCAGTCTGTCCGCGATATGATCCCTACGACACCGACAATTTGCGCATGTTTATCCGCCGCCCTCTCGGGGCTCATGTGTGACTCAATATTCATAACCTTTACCTCCCT